GAAACTTTAGTTTATTTAACTAACTTGGATTTTCCCGATACGGAGCGTATCATGACTGAAAAACTTCAAAATCAAGTTCAAGGATCTGAGTGGTCATGGAAAAATTTAAATTCGGTTAGTTGTGATTTTAAATTAAAATTAGACCTTCTAATTATTATCTATTAATATCGACACAAAGACTAAGAGAATTTGATAATTTTGTTTAATTATAGCTGTGCTGGGCAATAGGAAGTATTTCTGGAGCAATGCAAGAAGAAGATGAAAAAAGATTTTTGGTGACCGTTATAAAAGATTTACTTGGCCTTTGTGAGCAAAAAAAAGGAAAAGATAATAAAGCTATAATTGCTTCTAATATAATGTATGTTGTGGGCCAATATCCTAGATTTCTGAGAGCTCATTGGAAATTTTTAAAGACGGTTGTTAATAAATTATTTGAATTTATGCATGGTGAGTAGTAATACACGCGTGTATTTGCACACAATTTCCAATGTGAAAAATTTTTTTTTATATTATTTAATTATATTAGAAATAATTTTCACATTCGAATTGCGCTTTCCTTTGGGTTTTCAATTTGAAAAATAATTGATTTATTTCATTTTTTTTTTTTTTTTTTTTTTTTTTTATTAGAAACTCACGAAGGAGTGCAAGATATGGCTTGTGACACATTTATTAAGATAGCAAACAAATGTAAAAAATTATTCGTTTTGCCGCAACCGGGAGAAGTTCAGCCTTTTATAGAAGAAATTCTAGCTATGGTTACTACAATTATTTGCGATTTGGAAACACGACAAGTACTCTAAAATTATTATATTTATTTCTCACATATATATCTAATTTTGAAAACGTATCTTTTTTCAAAAAAAATTTTTTTTTTTTTAATAAATTTTAGGTTCATACATTTTATGAAGCCGTTGGACTAATGATAAGCGCAGAAGTTAATCAAACGGTCCAAGCCAAATTAATTGAAAAATATATGAGCTTACCCAATCAAGTTTGGGACGACATAATAAGTTCGGCTTCTAAAGTAAGAAAATTTTTTTTTTTTTTAAATAATAAACAATTTTTTTTGGCCCCCCCCCCTTTCAAGAAGTAAACAGTTGAAAATTATTATTTAGTTTTAAATTTAAAACAAATTTAATTTTTTAAAAAACTTTATTTTAAAAAAAATATAATCATTACATTATAAGGGATGATCGATCAATCAATCAATCAATCAATCAATGAAAGAAAGTTTTAATTTATTATATAATAGATTTTTTTTTTAAAGGGCGATTTTTGAACACTCACTAATCCATCCGTCACTAATGATCAAAAAAACCGAGGTCTATCCGTAAAACATCCTATCCTATCCCTTGTAAATGATATTTCGGTTATTATATACATATATATAAAAAAACTAAAGGTGACGCCGCAGAAATTTTTTTTTTTTTTTTTTTTTTTTTTTTTTATATAACAAAAATGGTATTGAAATTTGTTTTTAAAGTTTCCACGATATTTACATGTACTTTTGCCTGTTTATTTTTTTTTTTTTTTTTAGAATGTTGATGTTCTAAAGGATATGGAAGCGGTTAAGCAATTAGGTGGAATTCTAAAAACTAATGTTAGGGCCTGTAAAGCTTTAGGACATCCGTATGTAACACAATTAGGAAGAATTTATTTGGATGTGTTGAACGTGTATAAGGTTATGAGTGAAAATATAAGTGCAGCTATAGCTTTAAATGGAGAGAGTGTAACGAAGCAACCACTGATTCAGGGAATGCGTGTTGTAAAAAAAGAAACTCTTAAATTAATATCAGATTGGATTGATCATAGTAATGATCACGTTATGGTAAGTAAATAATAATTAGTAATTATTTATTTAATTTAATAAAATTTTATTTTTAAAAAAATTTTTTTTTTTTTTTTTTTTTTTTTTAGGTATTACAAAATTTTATTCCTCCACTTCTAGACGCTGTTTTATTGGATTATCAAAGAACCATAATACCTGGTGCTAGAGAGCCTGAAGTATTGAGTGCTATGGCCACTATAGTACATAAATTAGAAGGTCATATAACGAGTGAAGTTCCGAAAATATTTGACGCGGTTTTTGAATGTACTTTGGATATGATTAATAAAGACTTTGAAGAATACCCTGAACATAGGACCAATTTTTTCTTACTACTCGAAGTAAATTTTTTTTTTTTTTTTGCAAACAAACATGTTTGTAATAATTGATGGATTTGATGAAGGGATTTTTTTTTGAATGTATTTTTAGGCGGTTAACACTCATTGCTTTCCCGCTTTATTAAATATTCCTCCGGCTCAGTTCAAGCTAGTATTGGATTCAATTATATGGGCATTTAAACACACAATGAGAAACGTTGCTGATACGGGTTTAGAAATATTACACAGACTGTTGCAAAATGTCGAGCAACACGAGCAAACATCACAAAGTTTTTACCAAACTTATTTCACCGACATACTTCAGCATATTTTTTCCGTAGTTACTGATTCGTCACACACTCCCGGTAAGGAGAAAAAAAAAATAAATGTGAAAAATTTTTTTTAACGAAGTCGCGTGGTGTCATAATAAAATGTGTACATTTTTTTTTTTTTTTTTTTTTTTTTTTTATTCCAGGTCTTACATTACACGCCAAAATATTATCTTATATGTTTCGTTTAGTAGAGTGTAATAAAATAACTGTTCCTCTTGCTCCCAATGTTACGGACAATGTGACTCACGTCCAGAAATTTGTAGCAACATTATTAAAAAATGCCTTTGGACATTTATCCGATAATCAAATTAAAATCACCGTTCAGGGTCTTTTTAATTTGGACGAGGATCCCGGAGCTTTCAAAGAACATTTAAGAGATTTTCTTGTACAAATTAGGGTAAGAATTTTATTTATATATATATAATATTTTAATTTTCACAACAAAAAAATAGATAAAAGTTTAATAAATATGTGAAATTTTTTTCTAGGAATATTCAGGAGAAGATGATAGTGATTTATTTTTAGAAGAACGTGAAGCGATACTGAGAGAAGCACAGAGAGAAAAACAGAGAAAACAGCTTTTAGTACCTGGAATGAGAAATCCACATGAAATTCCGGAAGAAATGCAGGAAATGCAGGACTGAAGTAATTTTAAGCACTGCCTATAGTTTATATTCAAGTTTGAACTGAGCTTAGAAGAAAGAAGTTGTAAATTGTCCCTGGAAAAACAAAAAAAAAAAAAAAAAATTTAATGTATTATAAAGAAAAATAGTTACGATTGCTAAAAACTTTTTTTAAAAAAAGTGAATTAAGAGAATTAAGTGATTGATTTACTCAAGTTTTTTCATTAATTTGTTGAAATAGAAATATAATTGCAGTGGTTTAAATCGCCTAAGCCGAAGAGGTATTTTTTTTTTGCAGAGCCTAAGGCTTTGTTCAGTTTTATGTTTTTTTTTTTTTTTTTTTTTAAACTTTAATGATATAGAAATTTATAAAAAAAAAAAAAAAAAAAAAAAAGTAGTTTTTACTTTTTGTACATATGAGTGCATGCGTTGCGCGAGTACTGAGGTGTATTGAGTAAAAGTTTGGCGTTGAGAGAGCATGCTTTAGGAAACTTTGCTTCATTTTAAGGGTAAAGTTAATAAAAAAAAAAAACTGATGATTGTGAACGATAAATTTAATTTGGAAAAGCAAAAGAATTAATATTTTTAAGTTAATTTGCTTAAAAAAACATGGCAAGCTAATTTCTATCCGGCTTGGAAAAAAAAAAAAAAAAAAAAAAAAACAATTTTTTTTTTTTTTTATTTTTATATGCCAAATTTTTTTACGATGAAGTAATTTAGGTTTTTTGGTACAGACTTTAACAAAAAAAAAAAAATATTTAACGAAAATCATTCGTATTTATATAAATATTATAATTGAAATGTGTTTTTTTTTTTTTTAAATAGATTTTTAAAATATTAAACTTTAGTATTAAAAAAAAAAAAAAAGTTTTAGTTCTTAAAATAAAAACCAAACTTTTTTCGTTGTCAGATAAATTTTTTTTTTTTTTTTTGCTTTTCCTTAATTTTTTTAAAAAATAGTTTTAATTAATTATAAAGCTTGTGATTTTTCATTTAATCCAAACTTTATTAAATTTGAGCATTTCATTCGAAACGTGATGATGATGATGATGATGATGATGATAAAGATGAGACACTAATGTAAATAAAAATTTCTGAGTGATAAAATTATGCAAAAATTTTTTAATTTAAATTTAAAAATGCATTGAAAATTTGTTTTTGATTTAATAATAATAATAATAATGATAATAAGAGACTTAATTGATGATAATTAAAAAAAATTTTAAAAACATTTGGTGTCAATGATTATATACATACATATATATTTAAATTTTGTAATAAATTTTTTTTTTTTTTTTTTTCATTTTATTTGCTCACTATTTATATATATATAAATTATTAACAACTTATTTAAATTAAGTTATAATATTAAATTGTAATAATTTCAGGTTTAAATTTATTTGTTTAAAAAAAAAAAAAAATGGTCATTCTATAAAAATAATTTGATTTTTACATAAATAGGAGTTATGTGCTCACAGTCACATATATAATAAATTTACAAAAAAATTTTACGGTTAAATAAATTAATTAATAATAAATCTTTAAATTGAGTGCCTCATTATGATTTTATTTATTTAATTAATTAATTAATTAATTAATTAATAGAAAAATAGAAATTTGAAATTTTTTTTTGAATAACTTTTTAAAAATTTAAATTTCAAAACCCTTTTTTGTTTTTATATATAATAATTTACAGTCGAGAGAGGGAAGGGAGGGAAGGGTGTTTAATAAAAATAATAATAATAAAATTTCTATTGTTTATTTTTTTAATTACAATCAGTGAAAAATAATAATAATAATAATAATAATTAATTTTATGTAAAAATTCAATTAAATTAATTTTATTTTATTTTATTTTTAAAAAAAATGGAGAGCTTTTGTGTTTTATTATTTGGATGAAAATAATTTTTTTTTAAATTTTTTGTATTTTCGATTATTTAAAATAATGTCAAAAATGGTGATGATAACTTATCATTTAAAAATAATTTACACAGTATATATATATATATATATAAATATGAGAGTGATTGAGTGATTGATTGATTGATTGATTAGGTTTGTATTTTTACGGTTCAGAAAAATGTGTAAAAAAAAATTATTTTTTTAAATAATTAAAGTATTTGAGTTTTTTTATTATTATTATTATTATTATTATTATTATTATTATTATTATTATTATTATTATGTATTTATAATTAAAAGAAAAATAATTGTTTTTTTTTTTTTTTATTTTTTTTTACACGATATTGAAAATTATCAATCAGTCTTTTTAAAAAAAAAAAATTTGTCAGAATGAAACTTTCGTTTTACACATAATCAATAGATAAAATATCATCATTTTTAACATTTTCATTTATTTTTTTATTTTGTTTATCTAAATTAATTTTTTCTGTCGTTGTTTCGATTTCGTTTGTTGTTGTTGTTGTTGTTGTTGTATTATTATTTGAAAATGACACTTGATAATTTTCATTTTCTTTTTTTTTTTTTTTTCTCTGTAGTTCCTAGAGAGAGAGAGAGAGAGAGAAAGAAAAATTTTTTTTACAAAAAAAAGGGTATAAAAAGTTAAATTTACTTAACTAATTATTTATTTTATAATTAATTAGGGTTTTATTTACCTGGAAAAAAAAACTAAAGTAAAAATTTGGAAATATGTTACATTTTCCACCTTCTTCACCGTCTAAATAAACACCTCGTACCAATATCGTATTCGAACAATTTATCAATACCAAAAATGAAAAACAACCGAGATGTGTTATCCAGTAACTCCATATTGGAAAATCTAAGTAAGTAAGTAAATAAAACAATTTTTTTTTTATCTATTAAAAAAAAAAATAATAATAATAATAATTTGATGACGTTTTTTTTTTATTTACCAGGTAGAAAATATATATTTAATAAATTCCAAATTCCACGCCATAAATTAATGGTTCCAATGAATGAAATAAATACATAAATATCGGCTACGAGAAGCTGCCAAAATCCAGAAAGTTTTTCATTTATTTTTTCAATTGGAGTTTGAAGAATGAATATGACGAGAACAATTGAATATCCGATAACCTTAAAAATAATAATATTAAAGGTATGTAAATGAAAATAATAATAATACGTACTAAATCATAAATAACAGCAATCGAACATTTTTTATTTTTTTTAATTATTAATTTAATAATGAATAATTTTAACAAATTAATTGTGCAAATTTTTTTTTAATTTGTTTTTTTTTTTTTTTCAGTGGGATTAAATAACAAAAAAAAAAAAAAAAAAAAATGTTATCGTATTTATAATTATTATTTAAACAATTTAACCGAAGGAATTTTTTTTTTATAAATATTTTGCCCTCGAAAATAAATTTTACATTAATTTAAAAAACAAATAAAAGGAAAAAAAAGGTAAATAGTAATTTAATCATCGGTTAAAATATCATATTTAAAAGGTGGGGGGAGGGGGGAGGAAAAATACTAACCAAAGAACTTAGAGCTGAATATTTTTCATTTTCTGGAAATAATAAAACATCCGTTAAACACCAAACCCCTCTCCATATGAATATAACTAAACTTCCGATGACGAAAACGCTAAAAAAACAATCCAAAATGTATAGGGATAATTCGGAACTTTTCTAGAAAAAAAAATTAAGAAAGAAAAATCAATTAAAAGTTTGTATTAAATAATTACAATTTTTTTTTTTTTTTTTCAGGTACGGTCGATAAAATTTGTTATTTTGCGTCGAACTTACCGTTACTTTAAACATTGTCGGAATTTGAAAAAAATTATTATAAGAATCTAATGCTATTGTAAAAGGAGTTGACGATAATGTTTTTATGGATTTCATACAAGAAATGGCAACGAAACTAATCGTTGTGGGTACCAAAACTTGTAATAATTGAGTACCGACGTAAAAATCTAAAGCTTTCCACACTCCACGCCACATGTTAATACACGCCAAACCGTATAGGTAAGTGTACACTCTTGATATTAAATAATAAATAATTATATTCATTTTTTTCGGATTAATATTTTTTTGTAAATAATCTTGCGAGAGCGTTAATATTATCTGTACGATAAATCCAATTAATCCCGAAACTATGAGATTAACTTTGAAATCGTTCGGGAAAATATAGACGTCGGATAAACACCAACTTCCTCTCCAGTAACCGATGACGGCAGGTGCGATTATAAGACAAGAAAATATTACATCTAAAACTACCAATGAAAATTTATACCATTTTCCATTATTATTATTATTATTTTTTTTTTTGAAAAAAAATTTTTTTTTCATTTTAAAAAAAAATGAAAGGTTTTTTCAAACGTAAAGAAATCTTTTTTTTATTACTTTTTATTCAAACGTATTGTTTAACCGATTGTATTGTCGATTACTTTGCGAAATTATTGTTATTATTTATTATTTGTTAACAAAAAAAAAAGAAAAGTCACTACCACACACATTAATTATTTTTCCATCACGGTCGTTATTATTATTATTATTTAAAAAATTTTTCTTTTTTACAATCACCTGGATTGAATTTTTTTTTAGATAGATAGAAACATTCCTCAACCTTACTCAATGAAATAAATTATTTAACTGATTGTTGGGCAAAAGAAAAAAAAAAATTTATATGAAAAGATTTATGAATGATGATATTTGGTCATTTGTGTTGACAAGTAAAAAGATTCACCCGACATTTATTAGCTTATCAATTCGAACGTTGTACGTGTCCTTTTTTAGCAAAAAAAAAAAACATGTATAGCTTATATTTAGCAACTATTATTATTATTATTTAACTTTTAGTCATTTGTCTTTTTTTTTTTAAATATCAAATTAATAAATAATTTTTTTTTTTTAAGGGGGTTTCAATAGTGGTTTAATCCAATCAATTTTCCCCCCCCCCCAAAAAAAAAAAAATTTTTTTGATATGAGTAGTAGTAAGTCAATAATATTTTTTCCCATTTAATTATTTATACCAAAACATTATTATTATTATTATTATTAAAAATTATATGACATCATTAAAAAAATTTTTGTTTATAATTAATATTTTCAATAAGATTAATCAAAAAAAAAAAAAAAAAATGATTGTATTATTAATAATGATTAGCTTCCCTATTAACATTGTTAATGTAATTTAAAATTTAATGACAATTATTTATCTTTTAAAGTCATTAATAATTGTTTCTATAATTATTAATTGTTTACGTTTATCAACAATTATTTTTAAACGGTTAAAATGTTTTCAACTAATGATATGTAATTAATTAATTATTATTTATAATAAGACTCTTTTGTACACTTTTATATTGAGAGAGAGAGAAAATTTTTAATGAGAAAAAACATACATTTTATAAAGTTATGATTGAATTTAAAAAAAGTTAAGTACATTTTCAACCACAAATTAATTAATTAAATCACTTAATTTTTTAATTTATTTTATTTATTTACACATAGAAAAAAAGCAGGAGACACATAGATCAAAATTTAAGTTATAACTGATTGCCACATTAATGGTTACAAGTGCTCACCGTTATTTCAACTGGAGTACAAGGGCATCTTGTTTTGCAATTCAATTGAAAACCTCATTAGGTACCATTATTATTATTATTATTTTGTGATTTTTTCATACTTTTTTTTATTATTGTTGTTTTTTTAATAACAATAATAAATGATGTAATAAATTCGAAATCAATTTAGTTTGCCAAAAAAAAAAAAAAAAAAAAAATTCAAGTGTCGCATCATAATAAACAAATTTCAAATATGATTTTGTTCAAAATCATATTTCAACAATTAAATTTATTATTATAAAACTGACTCCATTAAGTATTTATTTATTTATTTTTTAAATCAAGTTATTATATAAAAATTTTTTTTTTTTTATACTAACCCCTTTTGAAAATTTAGTTTTAAATGCCGTGTTGAAATCGAAAAATTCATCCACCGTTGAATCCGCGGTTATCGAACATGGAGCTGCTAAAACGGTTTTTGATAATTTAAGGAATAAAAGGACGGCGTAGCATACGACAAGATGAATAAATGGCGGGCAAACATCAAAACCGAATTTTTCTTCAAGTAACGACCATAAACCGACCCAAAAAACAATACCGGATGAACCGCAAGCGTAAGCGTAAATTTTACGTAAAAAAAAATGTTTTATTTTTTTTTCGTTTAAATATTTTTTATAAAAATTTCTCCAGATTGTAAATTGTAATTGTAATAAACCACCGAAGAAAAATAAAAAACTAAGTTGAGTGTAATCGTGGAAAAATGAGAGAATACCAAAAAGGCCGCGCCAAAATCCGACAATGTTAACTTGGACAACAGTGGCTACAAGTAAGCAATTACATATTTTTATCGCCAAAGAATCTTTGGTTGTTTTAAAACTTTTAACGCGTTTCTCTAATTTATATTTTATTTCTTCTACACTTTTATTACCACTAATATTATTATTACACTTATTTTCATTTGTTTTTTCAAAAGTAAATTTTTTATAACCTTCAAATTCTTTTTTCATTGCAAATTTTGTTTAAGAATTTTTTTTTTTTTTTTTCGCGAAAATATACGTATCAAGACATTGGCGCTTTTCTTACCCGTTTCCGAGATTTCAAATATTTACTTTTGAAAATTATATTGTTGAAAACAATTCAAAATGTTTTTCTTATCGCAGAAATTATCATGTTTTCGAAAAAAAACCGTACATCTCCCATTTTATAACTGCAAAATATTTTTTTTCTTTATTTAATAATTTTCAAAATTATTTATTTTAATCCATGAGTAATATTTAAGTTGGGTAAGTAAAGTTTACAATACCAACTTAAAATGGATGATTTAGTTCAAATTAAATTTTTGTTATTTCAAAACAAAAAAAAACTTTTTAATAATATTTGTTTAAGTTTATTTTTCAAATCATAGGTAAGAGGCTTAATTTATTTATTATTATTTATTATCTTATCAAAATTTTGATTACTATTGGCATTATTAATAATTAAATCATAATATTCAATGTTAAATTTAATTTTTTCTTATTCTACACATCAAAATTATATTTCAAATATTTACTTTAGTGCTTGGATAATCAAATATTACTACTTTAAAGAATTAGGTTTATTTTTTTTTAAAAAAATGTTTTCATAATCACAAATTTAACCAAAACTTGTTTTTCATTTGAATGAATTTCAATTCATTAAAGAGAAACTTAATTAATTACTTTCTAGAATTTTCTCATTGAAATCTTTCATATATATATCAATAGGTATTAAAATGAAATAAATAAAGTAGCAGATAATAATAAAATATTGTTATAGAGATAGTATTTTTCAGTTTTACTTAAAATCTATTTTGTTTGTAATGGCAAAGATTGTAGAACGTTATCTATTTACTTATTTAAACAGTTTGTACTTTGAACTAAATTATAATAATTAGAAGCACATTATATATTATATTCATAAAGGACAAAAAAAAAAAAAAAAAAAAAATTAAATTATTTATATGAAAAATGAATATAATTGCAATAATTCAAAATTTGAGGTATCACCTTGATGTGTATATTATCAAATAAAACTGTTGTGTATCTTTTTGACATATTAAAATAACATCTAAAGATTAATTTTCCTTTAAAAAATCGTTATAGAAAAATGGGATTTTATTTTAATTGTAATCGTAATAATTTTAAATAATCGTATTTACAGTTAAAATATTATTTATCCACTAAAAAGTGAAATGTGGTAAAATATTGAGCAATTTTTTAGATTCATGGATAAAACAATAGTAAAAGATGTATCTGTAATTCTTTTAAAACATTTAAAAAATTATTTATTATTTTATAAGACTATTTATAATGCTTTTAATATAACATTACTCGAAATGTATACAATTATCACAATAATTAAAATCGTTTTTAGTCAGGAAAATAAAACGTTGCAATATTTTTTAGCTTGGTTAAAATTATTTAACTTATAATATTTAATTATATTGCAATTTTATAAATTACAATTAATTGAATTACACTTTTTTAGTTAAAAAATATTAATAAAATATAAAAAAAAGTAATATTAAACATGTTGTCATTTTGAATAATTATATACTAATCATAAATAAGTGTATTAATTTAATGTATATTTGAATTTCAGGAATTTTTTAAAGTGGCCAAAAAATTCTCAGAGATCCACCAGCCACTTTAAATGCCAAAAGCCCAGTAAAAATCATTATAATATATGCAGGTAGGAGACTTGCTAAGTACCATTCTTTTTGATTGAAAAATGTTAAAGCAGACACAATTAGGTGAGTCAATAACACCCAAGTAATATTTATGTAATTTTTCGAGTCAGCAGCAGAAAAAAATATCACTCCCCAAAATGTATGTAGTAAAATAAAACACAATGTAGTAGCTGCAGACGTCATAAAAAATTTCTCGCTTCCTTGGTGAAGACCCATCGTAGCAGGTCCTAATGAATCAGCCAATACATTTATTAATGCGAACAATCCACTCATGATTCCGAAACCTAAACCGGCAACATAAGCTAAAATATGCTTATTTTCAATAATTTGTGTTTCATTGTCCGTTATTTTTTTAAGCCCTCCTTCAGCACTTCTTATAAGTTTATAAACTATAAAACGAAACAATTCTTGAAATAGCACCGAATACAAAAGTCCGTAACTTAAATGCTGTCCGGGAATTATAAACCACAAAAAAGATGACAGGAGAAAAGATAAAAGCCAGAAAAATGCACTCGCAATTAATATAATTATTCTGATTGGATCTAATGCAATAGTGCATACGAACATAGCTAATGGTGGTCCAAACGCTAAAAAAGCGCACCCAAAAAATTCAGCCACCGTCATTCTGATAACAATATTCTTGAAAAAGAGGTGGGCTATATAGCTATAAAAAAAAAAATAAAACAAATATTACTTATAATGCATAAAAAACAAATTTGAAAACTTAATTTTCTTGAAGAAAATTGCTTTGTTACTCACGAATCATTTTATAAAACTATTTATTAAAATCCTTTAATTTATTTATGACAAATGTATCATACGAATACAGGCATCCATTTTGAATTAACTGTAAGAACCGGAAAACACATTATTTACAAAGGAAATATATATATAATAATAGTGTGTTTTTAAACTTGTTATCTATGTCTGCAAAAAAACGTAAAAATTTTTTATGGTTCAAATGCGATTGTTGTAATTCTATTGTTTCTCAAAAAGACGCGTCAGCACACAAGGAAAAATCTTGTCCTCCAAACTTTCAAAAATGGATACATCCCTTTATTATAAACAATTGTCTGTTTACTTCTATCGATGTTTTTCATCCACAAGGTATAGTTTCGTGCTTTACAATCAAAGTAGATTGTAAATTTTTAAATCAAATGATTTTCGTTTATTTTGATTTACAGAAAAAAGTCTTCAATTGATTTCTAGCGATGAGAAGGATAATTTTATACTTTTACCTATACACGTACTTCAAATTTGTAAAATTCCAATAGGTGACCCAATATTAATCAAGACTGATAATAATAACACACCATTCATAAAATCAGCTTGGCCAATGAGCGAAAAAACTATGAATTTTACTGTGGCTTTGTCAAATGAAGGTACAAAGTCATTTAAAAAAATTTTTCTCCATCAATTAATATTTAAATGAGTATTTTACTCTATTATTTTTACTTTAACTCAATACTGACAAATTAAAAACAAGATTGCAATCTTAAAAATTAGGGGAAAAAAATAATAATAATATTTTCATACTTTTTTTTTTTTTAGCTTTGACATGTAATTCCTTAACTGTTAAAAGTCGAGTATTCATAAAAAAATTTGAAGAGGAGGTTAGTTTAGCTGAACTTGTTACGCTTAAATGTGAAAGCGATAACAACATTACAGATGAAAAAAGATTGTTATTGAATTTGCAAAAAAATATTTTGAAAAAAATATTATGCTTTGGTAATAAAATATTATTTAAACATTATGGACAAAAATTAGTATTTGAAATAACTGGCATAGAGTCTTATAATAATAATAATAATAATTTAAATTTAAAAAATTCTTTTTATTTAATGGGACCTACGACTAAAATAAAAATTGATGATTCAAAACGACAGGAAAATGAAACACGAAAACTAGTCAAAAAATTAGGAGGTCTTAATGAATTAATTGAAGATTTAAAATATTCTGTCTCATTTATTTTAAATAGAAATAATGAGAATCAAGGTAAGTATTTAAGATATTTTAGCAAATTTTTAATTTTTTACATATAATAGTTTCTTTATAATAATACTAAATAATTAAATTTTTAGAAATTTCAATGGCCAAGGGTATTTTAATTCATGGACCAAATGGTTGTGGAAAAAGTTCTTTAATGGAATTAATATCTGAATACTTTTCAATAAGCACGATAAAAATTGATTGCTCGAAAATTTTTAGTGCAATTTCTGGAGAAACTGAAAAAGAATTACATGGCAGTTTTGAAAGAGCGAAAAAAAAGGCTCCATCTATAATTCTAATTGATGACTTGCATTTATTATGTTCTACCACAAATTCATCTTCATATCATGAAAAAAGAATAATTGCTACTCTAGCCTTTCTCATAGATCAATTAAGCAATTTAAATTTACCCATTGTAGTATTAGCAGCAACATCTAAAATTCACCAAATTGATAAATTACTCAGATCCTCTAGTAGGTTTGGTAAAGAAGTGGAAATTACAGTTCCCACCAATTCTCAACGTTTTGAAATATTGAATATTTTATTGTTAAATGTAAATCATAACTTAGTTGAAAGTGATGTTAAAACCGTTGCTGACTCAACTCATGGTTTCGTCGGAGCTGACTTATTATCTCTTGTGTCTCAAGCAATGCTGAGGAATTACAAAACTGAAAATAAAACAGGAACAGTTTCTGCAAATGATTTTGAATGGGCATTAAATAAAGTAAAACCTAGTGCGATGAAAGAAATAATGGTTGATATTCCAAATGTTAGGTGGGAAGATATAGGCGGTTTAGAAGATTTGAAATTAAAATTAAGACAATGTGTAGAATGGCCTTTAAAACACAAAGAATCCTTTAACAAGCTTGGAATTACAGCACCTAAAGGTTTACTTATGTTTGGACCGCCTGGTTGCTCTAAAACAATGATTGCCAAAGCTTTAGCTACTGAGAGTAAATTGAATTTTATATCTGTAAAGGTAAGTAAAATATTCATTGGTCTTAATTATACCTCTGGAATATATAAATATTTTCTTAAATTTAATATTAATATATAATTTCATAACTTTTTTTTTTAGGGACCTGAACTATTTAATAAATGGGTCGGTGAATCAGAGAGGGCTGTGAGAAATATATTTAGAAAAGCCAGGCAAAATGCACCTTCGATAATATTTATTGACGAGTTAGATGCTATCGGAGGAGAAAGAAATTTGTCATCGGGATCTAATGTACAGGAAAGAGTTCTTGCTCAAATACTCATCGAGATGGATGGCGTAGTACCGTTAGATAATGTAACGGTTATAGCTGCAACTAATCGTTTGGATAGAATTGATTCTGCTTTACTAAGACCTGGTAGATTAGACCGTATTATTTATGTACCATTACCCG